ATCGTGTTGACTGTGTATTCTCCTCCCCCCAGCTGAGGCGTCGGTGTCCAGATCCGGGGGCTGCCTTGGGTCAGGATCGGGAGCGAGGGGAGGTGTGGGGGGGGCAGACAGAAGTGCTGGGGATGGGGAGAAATGCAGGGGCTCTGGGAGCGTGCGTGCACGCATGTGGGAAACCCAGCCTTGCTCTTCTGAGCCAGCAGAGGCAGTGGCAGAGTGGTGGAGCCTCTCCAGCCAAAGGAGGGGAGGCTCCTGTTAACCCAGTTATCGCTTCCCAGTCCCTGCGTGGCCAGGTTAGGCTCTCGGAGCTGCAAACCCAGCCCCACGCCATCAGCTGCAGCTGAGCTGCTCCGGATTTACAACAGGGCAACGGGAGCGCGGGGCCAGACCCTCCCTCCGGAATAAATAAATACGGCGAGAGACGGCAACGCTGCCGGCGAGGGCACGAGGGGGAAGCAGTGATCCCATGCACAGCGCTTGGGCCTGGAGCCGCTGGAGAGGCAGCGGGGAAGGGTTAAAGGGGGTGATAAACGGCCCACCAAGCAGCAGCAAGCTGTTGCACACAAACCCAGAGCTCCCGATCCTGCCGTCTCCTCTGCTCCTGCCCCCTGTCCCCCCGACACCCTGCAGGACGCCGGCACCCAGCCACGGCGGGGTGGGCACGGGGGAACCCTCCGTCCCCCGTGGCTTGTGCAAGGGAGCGTGTGCAGGCGCTGGGACGCGGCGCAGCCAAGCCAGCTCCGTTGCACACCGGCAGCTGCTGGGTACAGGCAGCGCAGGCAGCGTTCCCGGCGTCTCCCCAGCTGCTTCAGAGCCCGAGTGCCTCCTGCAGCTGTGTCAGCGCTTTAAAGCTCAGGTCCCTCTGATCCGCTGTGCCTGGAGCGCAAGGATTTCCCAAGAAGTCAGATGCCCTCGAGCGTTCCCATCCTCTGCTGGGTATGTCTGCCCTTGCTCCCCCTTCTTCTCGCAGGAGGGTGGGCAGGGAACGTGGCTGAGCCCTGGACGCCGTCACGGATTTATCCGGCCTCACGACAGCAACCGCCTCCTCTTGGCAATTCCCAGGCACCGAAAGCCCCGTGAAGCCTCACCATGCAACACCGAGGTGAGCGATGCTGCTGCACCGGGGCGGCCCAGGGAGCGCGGGCCCGGCGTCCGCGGTCCTGGGGGAATCGGGGAGGTGCCGTGTCGGCCCCTGCTCCATCACGAATGAGGCTGCTTTTCCTGCACAAAGCCTGCCTTGGGTGCTGGCGGCTGATACACCCGTGGCTCCGCAGCATCCTCCTGGCCCCCCGATGGAGCCCAGTGCTTCCCTGCCCACCCCAGCCTGTCACCCCCCTTTGCAGCTGCCTTCCCCTGCTGCCTCTGCCTGCAGGAACCTCCTTCTCCCCGTGCACCTCCGTGGGATATTTCTTCTGCCAGCATCACCTGGGCTGGTCCCCCAGTTCCCTGCCTGCTTCTGCCACACGCTGCCTGCACCCTCACCCCAGCAAACAGCCCCACGTTGCTCCAAGCTCCAAGTCCTCCTGCCCAGCCCCCTCCAAACCCCCACTCAGAGCACAGGGGTCCCCAACGCCACCGGTCCTTCACCCTGCAAAGCCTCAGGCCCCAGAGCTCTCCCGGAGAGGCGGGGAGGGAAGGGCAGGCAGCGTCCCCCGTCACGGCAAGCCCCGTCACCGCTGTCTGGCCTCCCCCCAGGGCCCAGCGGCGTGAACCAGCTGGGGGGTCTCTTCGTGAACGGCCGCCCCCTCCCCGCTTGCAAGAGGAAGAGGATCATCGAGCTGGCGGCGTGCGGCGTCCGGACCTCGGACATCTCCCGCAGCCTCAAGGTGCGCCTGGGTCGGGGATTCTCCTCCAAATCCTTTTCCCCCGAACCTCTGCCCCAGCCGCCCCGTCCGCAGGTGTCCAACGGCTGCGTCAGCAAGATCCTGGGCCACTACTACCAGACGGGGGCCGTGGAGCCCAAGGCCATCGGGGGCAGCAAGCCCCGCATGGCCACCCCCGAGGTGGTGGCCAGGATCGCCCAGCTGAAGCTGGAGCAGCCCTCCCTCTTCGCCTGGGAGATCCGCCGGCAGCTGCACGCCGAGGGCATCTGCGCCAGCAACAGGACCCCCAGCGTGAGTCCCTGCCGGGGAGAGCCGCGGAGGGCTGCGGGGATGCCGGGGCCGGGCAGTGCGCGGGGGTCCGACCCCGCGGCCGGGGTGCTGCGGGGTGGGGTCCCGCGCTGGGGTGGGTGGGGGGCACTGGGAAGGATGCGCAGGGAAGGGCTCGGGGCTTGGCCAGATGGCGGAGGGAGAAGCAGGCAGGGAGGGGAAGGCGAATCGCTCCCTCCCAGCTAAAGCACAGCTCCACCGGCCGGCCCCAGCAAGCCTGGCCGTCGTCTTGGGCACTGAGACACTCGTGGTGGGTCTGTCACAAGTGCCACCGGTCGGCAGAGACAATAAAATGCAATCTGCAGAGTCAGCGCAGAGAGCTGCACTTCCTAATGACAGACCCACCCCTATAAATCTCCCGGTCTCCAGCCCCAAGGTGCAGATTGCCTCACATCAAATATTGTTAATCCACCGAAATTAAAGGGTTGCCTGTATCAACAAAGAGCGGAGCAGATGGGCATGGCCCCGGTGCGGAGAATCCCTGGCACGTGCTCAGGCGCGGCTGCAGGAGAGCACCTCGGGGACGAGCTTTGGGACATCAGCCTCGATTCCTCCCCACCTCCGTGCTGCCTGAGCACGTCTCCGGCTCCTGCGGGGAGCGGAGGGATGCCCACTGCCGGCGGGGGCTTTGCCCGGCCCCCCCCCGCTCCCACCCCTGCGGGTCCCTGGACCCCCTGCCCGTGGCGCAGCCCCGTCTCTCCCTGCCCAGGTCTCCTCCATCAACCGGGTGCTGAGGAACCTGCCCAGCGACCGGGGCGGGGGACCCGCCCCAGCGCCCTGCGGCTGGGGGCTGAGCCAGCCAGGGACCCGCTGCCACGGGGTGAGCCTTGCCGGGGGTGACGCCGCAGGGAGCAGGGGCTGAGGGTGGGTGCACCCCATGGGAGAGACCTGCTCCGGGTGGGCAGAGAGCTCCTGCCACCACCGGCCTCCCGGCTGCACACGCGCACGCACACACACGCGCAGGCACACACATGCATGTGCATGCACGCAGCTGCTCCGCACGCTCCCGCGCTGACCCTGTGTCCCCAAAGCAAAGGGGCTCGTCGACACTCCCTGACCCTTCCCAGCCCCTCCCAGGGAGCCCCCAGGGCTGGGCCCCCCCCCACCTTCTGCCTTCCTGTCGCCGCAGTGTCCCCTCTCGCCGCCCCCTCTGCCCCGCATCCCCCAGGCTGCCGCTCACCCACTGAAGCCGGTGCCGCCACCTCCCTGGGGACCCAGCACCCTCCACGGGGCTCCGCGGCTGGCCGGCGGCTCCCGCTGAGCACCCAGCACAGGAACAGGACGGTCTTCTCCAGCGAGCAGTCGGAGGCCCTGGAGAAAGGTGCAGTTCTCACAGGACGCCGGCCGAGGCCACGGCATTCGGGATGGAGATGCCGGGATGGAGAAGGGCCATTCCAAGGGGAGGGCATTGCCGCTTTCCGGATGGGCTCCTGCCCCTTTGAATGGCACAGCCATCGCCGCGGTCCTCCCCACCACTCCAAATTGCGGGCACCGGCCCGGCGATGGAGCGGCTGCGCATCCTGGCATCGCCCACCAAGGCGCCGGGGGGGCGGCTGCGCCCCACAGGCTGATCTCACCCCCATCCCCCTTGCAGAGTTTCAGAGGGGACAGTACCCGGACACTGTCACCCGGGAGAGACTGGCTGCGGCCACCCAGCTGCCCGACGCAACCATCAGGGTAAGAGGAGACCCGCCATGCTGCCGGGAGCATGCCTGGCCTCATCCTGCCGGCCAAAGCATCCCAGCCGGGGCGCCGGGCTCGGGGCTGCCCAGCCTGCCAGCGCTGGGGGGATGGGGCTCCCTCCTGGCACGCAGGGACATCTCCAAACCATGACACCGCTGCTGGCGGTGGTGGCAGAGGTGGGACGGGGCTCAGGCGGGCAGCGTGCGTGCGGCGGACAAGGGGGGGTGACCCCGAGAGCAGGTTTCGTCCCCAGCTCGGGGGTCTCTGCCCTCTGATGGCTGGGCACAGGCAGGAGCGGGGCAGGGCTGGCTCCGCCAGGACGTGCCAGTCTCTCATGCTCCCTCCTGCCTGCCGGGGCAAGGCCGGGGCTGGGGGAGCGGGACCCTCAGGCTGCTCCTCGGCAGCGGCCCCTGTGCCCGGCACCTCTGTTGGAGACAACGCACGCCTGCGCTGCAAGGCCACGAGCAGCTGCGTGCCCGTCCCAGTGCAGCCACCGCTCCGGTCCTGCTCCTGGCCTCTGCCCTCCCCGGCTCTGCCCCGCCGTGGGGCCAGCGCGGGGTCTGGGAGGTTGTGGGGACGCTGCCGGACCCCAGGATGGTGCCACCGGGCAGGGGTGCAGGGGGGGACAGCACAGTGCTGCAGAGCCGTGGCATGCTCCGTGGCACACTCTGTGACATGCTCCGTGGCATACTGCGTGGCATGCTGCACAGCACGCTCCCTGGCCCACTCCACGGCACACTCTGTGGCACACACCACGGCAGAGTCCATGGCACGCTTTGTGGCAGACTCCATGGCACACTCCATGGCACACTGTGGCACGCTCCATGGCACACTCTGTGGCACACTCCCTGGCACGCACCCCTCAAACATGCGTCCAGGGCACACTCGGTAGCTCCGGGCAGACATCCCGGTGCTGCTGGCCGACCTTCACAGGCTTGTGGTAGCCCCTCGCCCTCCCAGCCACAGACCATCGCCGGCCACCTCGGTGCCCCAGGTAGTGACAGCAGCGAGTCCCCCGCTCTGCCGGGGCAGGGCTGCCCGTGCTCGCGGTCACACCACACCGTGGCAATGCACACACGTGCACACACGTGTCTCCCATGCCCTGTGCCGGAGAAGCACCCCAGAGCCCAGCATGTGCTTGCAGCCTGACAAGGTGGAGAAGACGCAGGATCAAACCCTTCCTCTGCCCATGCCCATGCCCTGGGGCGTGTGAAGAGCCCATGTCCCGGGGGAAGAG